GCGCGCGGCGCTCGACCCCACCCACCATCATCAACAAAATCGCCCGCTTCTCCGCGGTCATGCCGTAAATCGTCGGGGCCACCGCGCGGGCGAGGGTGCGCCAAACCCCACTCGGCCCCTCCGCCTCCGTCCACTTCCGTGCGGCGCGGAGGAGCTGCTCCTCCAGCGCGGCCCCCCCTCGCCAGCCGTACGCGGGCGACCGAAGCGGCACGACGTGGTTCACCAGGACGATCGCCTGAAATCCTTTTTGATCCGCCGTGGTGTAGGAAAGATAGACGCCGACGAGCTGGACGCGATCCCCGGGTTTCGTCGTATCCACCAGGTCGTCGTCAAAGCGAAGCTCGACGTGGCGGGGGAGCTGCCCGGTCGGCGCCCGCTCCGGGACCTCTTGCAGGATCGCGCATTGGGAATCCATAAAGGTGGAGAGCCCGAGCTCCGTGCGCAGGACGTTGCCTTGCATATCCGTCTTCGGCATCACATTCACGGTCGGGAGGTGGGAGCTGTCGAGAAGAGGGGTGAGTTGATCGCGGAATTCCTTCGTCGTGAACTTGTTCGTTTCCGGACAATAATGCACCGTTTCTAACACCCGGGGGCGGTTCGTGGATTGCCGCGTGATGATCCCTTCAAGGGCCACCAGCGTGTTCAGGTGGCGGGCGTAAAGCTCGCGCGGGGAGAGCACGGTCCCGACGGGGCCCTCAAATCCAACATGAACGGCGCGAGAGCGGTAGTCGAGCTTTAGATACTCCGGCTGCTGTCGAAGCACCACGTCGTGCACGGCGAGCTCCAGCAACGGAATGTACTTCCCGGGCTCCTGAATCAACCCCAAACCGAGGGAAACCATCCCATCCCGTTGCTCCAGCTCGCTGCCACCGCTTGGGATCCGATCGAACGGGCCCCCTTCGGAGCCGACTGCGGGGACGTAAAAGTCGAGGAAGTCGCCCATGTCGACGTAGAGCCTGGACTTGTCGGCCGCCATCATGGCCTGGATGCGTCGGTGGTATTTCTCTTCATACCGTTCACTTTCGAAAAAGTCGGTGAACTGGCGACGAATAAGCGACTGCTCCTCAGTGAGTTTCCGATTGCTGAGCATCCGACACACACATCCAAAAACAAGCAAACAAAAAAGGATCTAGCTACCGCTTGTGTGAATATTATTTCTTTCGGACAATCTACAGGTCGATTTCTATTTTTTTCCCTCTTTCTATCTACCGAGCCTGTTTGTGTACGAAGAAAACACGCTAAAACCACCCTTGATTTTACTAAGAATCGAAGCTGTACGACCAAAGAAAAAAAAGTGTTTAAAGGCAAATAAACAAAGGCACACACATGAAAAAAAGGAGGGGCCCTGACGCGCCCTCACGCCTTGTATGTATCCATTTAGCAACATTTCCTAAGAAATGATTTAGTCGCCACCCCACCGGCTTCTCCTTTTAACCCCATTCATCGCATAAAAGTGGGTTACACTTTTTCTGCCTTGCTTCGTTTCCAACGCGTCGTCACGTCGTCCTCGGGATCAAACGTTTGCGAACGGATCTCCTGCATGAGTTTCTCAATCTCCTGCAGCTTCATTTGCAAGAGCTCGGCGTCGACATCCCAGTCATTGACTACCTCCCGTTCCATCTGCTTAAAAGGGGTTTCCAGAGAGCTGGTGAGCTCTTCCTGAATGCGCCGCATCGCCTCCTCCCGCTCGGCGATATCGCGGCGTTTGGCATCCTCCGACGCCTCTTTTTGATACTCTTTTTGCCGGAGGATAAACGCCGCCCACTGGGCGTCCTCCTCCGCCTGCCGCTTCCGCCGTAGCTCCTCGGCGTTATCCCCTGCCCCTTCGCTCTCGCCACGCAACGAGGCGTCATAGCTGCGGCGCTTTTCCTCGTCGATGAGGGTTTCCAAGGCGATTTTCACCCGCTCGAAGGCCTCCCGCGCGGCTGGGGAGGGGTCCTTATCGGGGTGAAAAAGCAGCGAGTAGCGGCGGTACGCTCGTTGAAGCGCCTGGGCATTGATAAGACTCGCGGAGATGGAGGTGGGGGAGGAAACCGGGGATGGGAGGTGGAATATTTCGTAGTAGTTGAGCGATTGTATCGTCTCCTTCGTGATGCGCACCGTAGAGGATTTGCCCTCCCCGCGATGGCTCTCTTCGCCCAGATGTTTGGACATGTTAGCAACTAAAACCTGTGAGTGGGATGAAAAAAAACAGGCATGAAATTTGATTATTAGTGGTTTGTTTAAAAGTATTCTTTTTTTTGGCTTATTTATTCTTTTTAATTCACAATACCGGTTAAAGTTTCTGCTTCTGTCTGTATGCCTGCAACAGAAGTAGCGAAACCTCATATAGGTTAAAGAGGAGAAGGATGAGAAAGAATGAGCACGATAAATTTTTAATAGTAAACATATCGATGCCAAATCTTTTTAAACAGTACTATCCACATCGAGTACTCGGTATCCTTCTTTTTAAATAGCGAGTCCAAAGAAAACTCTAGACAATGCCCCCCCAACGCCTCTAGTTCAAGCCCGACAGCTCTGTCAAGCCACAAAAGTCGTGATACAAATACAGACGTACATGTGAAAGAGGAGAAGATAGTTTAAGGGCCTTTCATGACTTAGCTCTTATACTTATCGTTCCAGTTTCTTATTAACATTTTCGTTGTGCTTAATGAAGTCGATGCCCACAAAAAGGGGGAAAAAACGATTTCCTCGCGTAGACAATGATAGACAAAAAATAAAATAATCAAAAAAGAAGCGTAAACGGGGCAACAGAGAGCGTAAATATAAATATCTATATAAATATAGATAGATATTTATATATTGAAAAGAGAATGACGGGTCTTCGCTATCCCCCATCAAAGCAGTCGAAAGTCATCCTCGTCGACGTTCTCCCCGACAAAAGGGGTGCACAGGAAGTCCTCCCGCAGCTCCGCTCGGCTCGCCGGCAGCATCGGAAGGGGGGGAAGCAACGCGAGCGAAGGGCTCGGGCAGGGCCGCAACACGTGGCTCCCCTCCGGTGGAGCGCGCAGCCGACGAAACTTCCCTGCGCGACCGCGCAGCTCCCCCTCACTTTCACTGCCGCTGCTCTCCCCTCGCTCCTCCTCCCCTCGCGACGCCACGCGGCGATCCGGGCGGCCGCGTTTCGCGAACGAAAGGGGAAGCGAAGGGGCCAACGAAGAGGAAGAAGACGGAGGCGGAAGAGAAAGGGAAAGAGGAGGGGTTCGCCCTCCCATCCGCCGTCGCCGCCCTCCTCCTCCTCCTCCCAATCCTACCGGTAACGGCACCACCCCTTCTACGCATAACTGCCCTTCCGCTTCACCTCTTTCCTCTCCTCTCCAGCCGCCCTTTTCACCTCTTTCTTCCCATCCTTTCCGCTCGCGTTCTCGCGCGCGCTCGAGGAGGAGCTCGCCCTCCAACTCCGCGGCCTTTTGAAGCTCGCGGTGGTAGCGCTCAGGGCGAGCGGGAGGGGGGGGNGNGCGCGC